TCGGGGATGTTATTGAATCCCGCACTAATTCCACAACAAGTTTGATACCCTCACGATTTAGCCTATATCTCTTGATCAATTCACAGTCTTCCATTGTCTCCAAAACATTTCGTCTCTCAGCCATTTTCAGATTCTTTGTGAATAGGTCTTACTGAGTTAGGAGTCCTCTCGAGGACTTTTAAGCTCTCCCAGACTTAGGTGCTACTTTTAGGCCTAAAATACTTTGTGAATTGCTCTTAGTGAATAAAATTAGGAGTCCTAAATGTAAGACTGACACAACCACTATGCTTAGGAGTTTCTCCTAAATTCGCCAGTTAGGAGCTACTTTTAGCCCTAAAATCCTTTGTGAATACGGCCCCAGAGCTTTTATTTAATTTAATTATGATATATTTTATGATTTCTGATTTATCTTTCATGAAGTCCAACATTTTTACAAATGTTTTTACACATTTAAGTTTACAGATTCATTGAGCGTTAAAATTGACAGTGCTTATATAACGCATTTTAAGTACATTTATAATGCAATGCAATCGTAGACATGGGCATCATAGAAAATGTGATTACCCAAAAGGGGTACTTTTTTTGTGGTGTTCTTGTTGTTGTTACATTTGATTTCATTTTTCCCACCAGCCAACACACAAAATAACTTGGAAACGAGTGACGTCAGCAAGTCCCAACACTTCAGCATGGCAGCATCACTCCTGGAGGTGAGCGCAGAGATCGAGTGATGGTAAACTATTAACTTATTATCTGTATCAGCACGAAATGATTGAAAAAAGTTATGTCTTTTCCCTTCAGGTGAAGAGGTCTGCCCTGGCAAAGAGTTTGACCGAACGCTCCTTTATGACCCACAGAGAGAGTGTGATCAAACCCCTCAGCGCCGATCAGGCGTCTGACTGTAGGGACGCCTTTGTGAAGGTAATAAATCTGACCCAATGACTGGCAATCAGAAGGCTTCCAACTTCCTTATTGGATCCTTTCATATAGAAAAAATGTTGCGTACTACAATTGATAAAGATAACAGCATGACGTCATTTTAACCTTTGATTTCAGAGGGATTCATTGAAAACTCAAACTAGAACTTCAACACAATTTAAAAGAGGAGGGTACAGGCAGGGGTTTTCAGATACATCAGTTGTCATGAGAGTGGGGATGCAGGGATTATTACAAACAACCATCCAGTCACTGAGGAACTACACTCTACTTGAACCCCATTTGTGCTCTTTCCTATGCCACCAAACTACTTTGACAAAAACGGTAATGTTACCTTGCAGAACACAGGGGCTGCTGGTCTACCTCTGCCTCTAATGGTTTGTGTTGTTATGTGACTTTGGTTAGGTCAGAATCTTCAAAGTCACAAAAAACTAACCGATCAAGGCAGCGATAGACTTCCTTGTTCTGCGAGATAAAATTACTGTTTTTGTCAATGGAGTGGATATGGCGAGAGCTTATATAACAGCTTCAGTTCCTTATGCATTGTATAATTGTCTGACGGGAAAGTTAAGCATCAAAAATATTCTAAGTATAGCGTAAACTTAAATCGATGTTGACCCTTTGTGTGGGTCTTTATTTTAGGTGGTTAAACTGAATTTGCTACTCCTGTTCACAGCAGTACGTTTCTTGACAAACTATTGCTTTAATATTCCTTTGTGAGTTGGACTGATTCCTCTTGATAAGAAGATCAAATTACATTTTAACATTTTGTATCGATCGCTCAGGCAATCTACAACAAGCTGTTCATATGGATCGTTGAGAAAATCAACAATGTCATCTATAAGAAGTTGACCAAAAGCCCCAAATCCTCCTTCCTGTCAATCGGCCTGCTCGATATCTTTGGTTTTGAGAACTTCAAAACAAACAGGTAAACTTGTTTTTTTCTATCATGTTGAGCACAGCACTGTTTTACACTTAGTTACAGCTGTTCAAATGTAACCCTGTCATCCTACAGCTTCGAGCAGCTGTGCATAAACTTCGCTAACGAGAAGCTGCAGCAGTTCTTCGTGGGCCACATCTTCAAGCTGGAGCAGAAGGAGTACCTGAAGGAGGACATTGTTTGGAATACCATCGAATTCAGTGACAATCAGAGCATCCTGGACGTTCTGGCTGTGAAACCCTGTAACCTTCTCGCTCTGATCGATGAAGAAAGCCACTTTCCAAAGGTTGGTTGCGCTATACAAGGGTTGCTTTTAAGACAAATCACACAGCAAGTATTATTAAAGTCTTTACTTTGGAATCTGCCAGTTCAGTAATATATGTTCTGCTGGTTTTAAAGTTAAAGTATTGTTTGGTGTGCCACAGGGCTCTGACGCCACTATGCTGAACAAGATGAACCAACAACATCGTAGGAACAAGAACTACCTCTCCTCCAGAAGTGAATACGACACAGACTTTGGCGTTCGCCACTATGCTGGCATCGTATACTACGACTCCAAAGGTACAAAAACAATATTTACAAAAAGTCCAACTGAAGACTAATGATCTGTTGCATGGTGATAGTATTTTTATTTTTTTCCCCTGAAGGCTTCCTGGAAAAGAACAGAGATGCGGTCAGTTCTGACATGATCAACATGGTGAAAAAGACCAAGAATATGCTGCTTCAACAGATATTTGAGGAAGAGCTTTCAACCAATAATGTAAAGATCAGTAACAACAAGAAGATCGTCATGACGCCCAACAACTCTCTACGGGTATGGCAATGTACTCCCATATGCATGTCATTTACTTTTACAATGCTACATAAATCTTCTACTTATTTGGTTGGACAATGGTGCTAAAAGGTTGACAATTTTGGTTTGGGAACAACCCAAAGTAAAATCCTGGTTCCCTTGACAAAAGTGCCATTGGATTTTGTATTATTGCTGAAAATGTGCTCTGTGGTTAACAAAAGCTTCACAACTAAACACCCTGATAGGATCTTTGAATCATAACTGCAACAGCTAACATTAGCTAACATTAGCTAAAAAGCTAACGTTAAGCTATAAAGTAGCTACAC